ATTATTATTACTGGTCAACTGACGTTTCACGTTTGCCGTGAACGTAAGTCTAAAACTCGCTACTGTTTCATTAGAAACACCGACGCAGCTCATTACTAATTTTTAGCTAGTTATCTCTTCTTAATATAAAAAAACTATTTTACACTACGAAAATTTCGAAGAAGAAAAAGAATTAATTAGAAAAACAAGATTTTCTTTTATTCCAAGAGCGATGTTGTTTGATGATTCATATATTTTTTGCTTGCCAATCCATTAGGAACTCTTTGTAGGAAACGTAAGATACTTGCTTACGGCACCCACTCAGTACATTATGTCGTTCATGCGCACTAAAATGGCGTCCAATCGCAACGCATAGTTTTGGCTCCGGTGAGATAYGGCAAGGCTCATTCGTACTATTATACCAAACTACACAATCTCTGTGGAGAGAGATCTCTTTAACTTTGGAGTAATGTTTTCCCATTTCAAATAACCATTCCCTAGAGTATCTCGTGTTGTTTAAAGCCCCGTTTACACTGGCGATTTTTGCGGCGATTTTTGTGGCGATTTTCGAAAATATGAAATCTTTTGTCTCATCCTTCAAAAGAGACATTCGTCTAGGAAAATCTTGGTATCCTGAATAAAACTTTACAAGTAAATTCTTTACCATTATTTATTATGGACAAAATCGCCGCAAAAATCGCTAGTGTAAACGGGGCTTAATGGTTTTTGCACGAGAAGACRCACGAATATTGATACCATATATACAAACAAAGAATCTTTTTCTGATTCCAGAGAATGACACGTCTGAAAAGGGAACACTATAACGCCCAAGGCAAGATAGTTAAGAGGTCTTACTATCAGATCTAATTCTATTGCATATACGTCATTGATATCTCCTTTCCAAAAAAAATGTATTAGCGTGTCGTTGAGTCAACAACGGGAATTCCTACACGACTGACGGGGCATAAAAGACGTGATCTTTATATCAATCTCGTGCAAATGATACCAAGATCTTTGCCGTTCAACGATATCCCAAACTTGTCGATAAATCAAAGTGAATTACCCACAARCGTATATCGTAAATCGCGCAAAACGTCAACAATGACTCGGTTAAGAATCCAAGCTCAGCATCGGTTGAATTTTCGTTTTCTTACTCGTAAATCAAATTCTCATTCATCTGGAGCGAATTTGCTCCCAGAGAGTGATGAAAATGGACAAAAGAGGTCGAGTATGAATGAAGACGAAACAAATGCGTCAGGATCAAAGGTCTCGACAAAGCATTTATCTTCCATAACAATTCTCCCGCACAAGAAAGATAAAGAATCTTCACTTGATGAACGCTGGAAGCGAAGTGTAGAAATGGATAAACAAACTTCGGCAGATCCTAGAGACGCTAAAGACCTTAATTCTAAAAGAGACTGCGAGTGCCAAGAAGAAGCTTTGGACGTCTTGCGTCGAATTTTGGAAATTCAGCCAACGAACTCAACAGAAGTGTACTCGCTAAGTGGTTGTGCTGTGCGAATCGAAGTATTAGAAGATACAGACCTTTGAAGAAAGAGCTGTTTGATTTCCGGTCAAATGTAAGAGSCTCTGTAAAGAGCTTTGGAGCTTATGACAACCTAATAAGGACACAGATGATGGGAGACAGCAATGCTGGCGAATTGAAGTATTGGAAGGTACAGACCTCGGAAGAAAGAGCTGTTTGATTAGCAGTAAAGAGGAAAAGTATTAGAGGCTTTGTACCGAAGAACTCTGGAGCTTATGACAACCTAATGCTGACGGATGTCTTTGGGATATTCGGTAATAAGGRCACAGATGATGAGGCAGTAATCCGAATAAGATGATGACGAGTTAACCTTGCTAAGTGGCGACAACGAAGGACTGCTCTGCTTTTCATTCTCGACTTACAACTCTATTCTCTTAAAAAAGGAAAAAACTTACTTCCAATACGAATCTATGAAGGCCGATGATTGGCATGTCGAAGATAGACGACAAGAAGCATATGTACCTCCGTTTAAATGCGTTCAAGCAAGGTTATAATCATATTATTAACTCAGAGACTTTGGAAACAGTTTGCCCCTGCATTGGCACTATTAAAAATGTGGATGATATTACAGTATTTTGCCAGATCAATGAACTGTGCGAGAACATTTAGTTCAAAGTAATGACTTTCTTGATCAAAATAACAAGAAAGACCGAAATAATTGATGTCAAATCTAATGCACTGAGCACTTGACATCGAACGTAATAGCATGTATAACTGTAGATATAGTTCATAGTAGATCAGAAGTAGTATTGGTTGGCTAAACATTTTTAGGCCCGAGTTCAAGATTAAAAACAATAGTCCCCTTCACAGTTCCCTGCGCCATCTTGAAAGGTAGCCGTGCCTTTGCATCGAAGCGAGACGAACGGTGAGCTTGCAATGATAGAGACATGCGAATATTCGTTCAAGGTGTTAAGAAAGGTCTCTATCATTACAAGCTCACCGTTCGTCATATTTTCATATTTTCTATGAATAAATCACATACGTCATAAGTTGATTACCGAGTCAAGGTCTTCTGCAATATCTGTAATATTAACCTGCTTTRTCAAATAAAGGATTGAYTGATTGATTAGTGAGTGGCCCATATACGGGATATGCAGAAAGGTTTGGACGAGTWGCTGCCGTCAATAGAGACCRCTTTGCACCATCACGTRACGGCAGCCATATTAGATGACAGGAACAATACAATCGTTTTACATAAGAAAGAATTCAATTCCCGAGAGCAAAGGGATTTTATTGTTCTGCCATCTAAAAACAGGCAGTCCAAGCTGTATTATGGGCGCCGGCACGTGATGGTGCAAAGCCTCGAGGGAAACGCGCTGCGGTATTTTATAAAAGTTGCTGCAAAGAAGGAATAAGTTGCTGCATGATAGAAAATTGAAATGTTACAAAAATAGAATACTTACATTGCTACGCGCTGATCGAGACTGKTAACAGTTGCGACAGGGACCGATACTAGCAATACACTGCTATCGACCTTTATTGGTGGCACTGTAGGTACCTGCATGACTTCCCTGTCGCGACTGTTGTCTTGATCAGCGCATAGCTGAATGAAAAACTGGGAAAGTATTCCATTTTCGTAAAGAAGCTTCACTGCAATTTGAAGTGTTTGTCTTGGCACTTCGACACAGAAACGAACGAACGAATCTCCTTATGACACTTAGAAAATTACAGACCGTCGGGCACGGGGGGGGCTCTTGCCCGTTTGGGGTAGGGATGTGCCGCTGAGCCCTCTGAACCCTGACCCTGTTCCAGAGCAAGATCGCTGAAAACCATACCCTGTTCCAGTAGTGCGAAAATAGATACCCTGTTCCAGAGAGGAGAGAGAGCGTGATTTCATATACCCTGTTCCAGAGCGAGCGCGATTTTATATACCCTGTTCCAGAGTAAAATCGCTGAAAATCATACCCTGTTTGGCGGCTCTTACCCGTATAGCGAATATAGGGGAGTACCCCCTCCCCGTGTTCTAAATTCGTAGAGAAACCTCATTAAGCGATATTTGYCTTTCCTATATGAACAACTCTCTTCAAATCACTTAGGAAAAATATTCCCATGAATACAGACTGTCCGGTAGCCGAAGAGGAGGAAAGACGAACACGCTACGTGTCGACGAGAACCTTTTTGAAATAATCTCGTTACCCTGAATGGTATTCCTGTGATTTTTCGGCCGCGCGGAAAGACTAAGGCTAGATATAACTATTTACACAGGGAACCCATCMGTAACGAATTTACTAATCTAATTTWAAAAAATGATAATAAGCTAGAGTCTATAGATCTGTATTTATATTTAACTTAAGCCTAAGGATGATTTCTTATTATGGCATCTCAAAAAATATCAAAAAATGTCAATCGTCAATGAATTTTTTATTATTTATTTTTGTTAATTACTTGGGTCTCCTGTGGTTTTGATGTCGTTTAAATACTCTTCTGGATCCTCGTTGACAAGGTTTTAACAAGACCTTTGGCATATGAAAATCATCAATCATGCATGGAACTATAATTATGYAGCTTGTGGTCAYGTAGAATTTYATTCGTAGTGAGAATGGAGCCACTGATGAACGGAGAAACGTKCGAAGAGGAAAATTCGAATAAAGTRTCTGAATCACCACAATCAGATTATAACTCCAAATCATGGAAAGTTAGTAAGCAAAATCCACCAAAAGGGTAAGAATTAAGCGTATTAGGTAMAATAATAATGCATATATTCATCGATAGATGTTTGTGTACAATACGATCGACCCGGTCTTTCTTTTATCTTTGTACATTTGATACATATCCAACTTGACAAGCAGCTTTGCCTATTGAGTTTTTGCTTGCTTAAGTTGTTAATATTGAAGCTCTCGGTTGACGTTTTAGAAAAMTGTACGAGTCAGCCAAAGCTTAGCTAAAATACTTCAGCTTGTTTGTAAATATAATCTCACTGTTCGACTTTATATTTCGATGCAATTATCATAATTTATCTTAAACGATCCATGATTGTATTTTTTGGGTATAGTTAGGGAGCATTCACAAAAACTTGTTGGGGGGGAGGGGGGATGATGAGAAATTATCCTTTACAGGACCCCCCCTTGTTCCATTATAAAAATTTCAGGGACCCCCTATAGAAACTTAGTAATTTGAGACACCCCTCTATCCCCAAAAACTGGCATTTTTAGACCTCAAATTCACTCTTCATCAATTAAAATATTTAGTATATTATAGTAGAGTGCTTCTAAACGTTTCTTGACTCTTGCTCTTTGGTATGAAGTCATCAATTTCTCGAGGTGATCCATCTTCAGTCGTAGTTGGCGTACTGAAAACATCTAAGTAATGACCTTCTCTTGCCTTATCCGGAAAAGGACGTGGAATATGCCCCATTATAGGTGTTTGCCATTGTGTAATTTGGCAATATTCACATTTTGTAGCTGGATCAGATGAATCTTGAAAATTCTCTACTTTCACATTCCCATAATGCCTTGCATCTTTGGGAGGGGTAGCCAATCAAAAAACTGTCCCAAATTGAAAGGTTTCTTAATTGAATTTATACTTTACCTGCTTTTATCTGTACAATACTGATTATCAGTTTATTCCCAGTTATTTTTGTGTGTACAGATCATCAAGAGTTTTGGTCTTACAGAAAATGTATTGACTTACAAAATGTTTTTAAAATTTACCTTAAACGTCTTCAAGCTTCTATCTTTTTCTGTTTTTTTACTTCTTCATTTTATTTTTGGAAACCAAACAAGGTATTGTCAACATTGTCTGATCAGCCTTCAGCAAAATAAGTGGGTTTTTACCCTCTGGTTACCCCCGCAAAGAYGCAAAGTATTATGGGGATGTGAAAGTAGAGAATGCTCCAAATACAATTCACATAACTGAAAATGCATCTGCATAAATACCTCAAGTTTCTGCATATATTGGTATCCAGGAACAGAAGGCTTGTTGTTAGCTGTTGCATGCTTGTTAYTTCTTTATGTAAGTTTGCTTGAAAAAATGAGAATCTTCAAATGATGGGCTCAACTGTGAATGTATAAACATACCCAAAACAGGTGCTCCATCAATTCTTTCAGCAATTTCCTCTGCCACTCTCCATGCATTCTTTTGCATTCTAATCTCTTCGTTTCTAGCGTGAGCTTCTACTGAAAGGTTCTTAATTTCTTCATCTGTGAGGSCATCAAAAATTGGGTAATATTCCCAGGTAAATGTTTCACCGTCAACAAGCTAAGTGCATCCTCTATGGTACTGTTTGTTCTCTCCACCTTGTTTTGGCCCGAGTCACCTCTTGATCTGTGCAATCTGATGTAATAGTCAAGATTCCACATATGACATATTTCCATAACTCTAATTTGGATGTCAAAATTGGTAACAGATACACCAGGTCCTGTGTCAGTTAGCTCTGACCATCTGGATTCTATCACAGGCAAAACATTTCAATATCAAAATATCAGAGTTCATAGGTTGAGTTTTCATGATATTTTTGAAATATAATTGAACATGTTATTCTGTGGCCTGGTTTATCTTTTTAATTTCAGGTATCCCCCTTCAGAGCTTTCTTTTTTTCCAGTACTCCCCTTTTATATCTTCATCTTTTTTTT